CTTGTGAAGTAAAAAGGATTTATATAAATGTCCAAGGCCAATGTTTACTGGACTACATACTGTACATATACTTTAAGTGGACTTAATGTGACAACATTTTTGTATTTTTGTATTTATTTATCGTACTAGTTGAATGAACCCAATAGTTTAATTTTGCTTTTTGGAATGATTTTTCTAAAAAAGAGACTGCCTACTGCGAATTACAACCTCTTGGCTCAAGAGTAATATGAATTGGTTTGTTTGACTGTTTCAAAACTTGAATGATATATGATCGGTGACCTTCTAAACACTACAACTTACATATACATGTATTTCAACTTTGTTAAGGTATTAATTCTGTAATGATATGTAAATATCCACATGAAATTTTAATAACTTTACCCATTTCAGAAAGTATTGATACATCTAGTTATATGAAAATAACTCGGAAATACTATTTATGCTGAACTACCTTAATTGGTGAAATATCAGTCTAGTGTAACATATTAGGTCAATTTTAAAATGCCAAAGAACAATTTATGAAATTATTGGTTATAGTATTATTGGGTTCATCTAGGGCATGTGTCTTGTAAATATCCATGAAGTACAATTTCTGAAATTCAGTTGTCTTTTACAATATAGAAAACGAAAAAAAAAACTGCTATTTAATATTTTCTAGGAATGTCAAAATAAGTTCTAATGGAGAATTGATATTAGCAAATCAAACCATATTAGGTTAGGCACATTCAATAATGATATGGAATTTAACATTGTACAAGGGTTGTAAAACTAGGAAGTAATTTTCATCCTACCATATTCTTAGAATTTTTCAAAAAGGCATATGAACAAAACAAACACCCTTGACTGGTGCAGAAGAAGTTCAAAGATATGATTGACATTTAGATATCAAAAATCAAGTGATGATTTTTGGTAATTGTCTCAGAAAAAAGAAGATTAAACTGTTTTAGTTAGTCGTTCATAAGTTGTTATAGCCTATAAGTAACACATTCATCAGAGCAAGCAATTTATTAAAGTGTGACCATTTACTTTAAAGTCATAAAATCAAACTTGCTCTATTATAAATGGGTGGGTTTGAGTACCAGGAGGAAGACCTCTTGAAATCTATCTGTGATTTTATTGTCTCATTTCGATACATGGATAAGTCACTAATACAATACAATGTGTTATATGTGTATCATTGATATCCCTTATTTCAAAATACAGATATATCTCATACTTTTTACAAACTTTCTGCCTAATAATGATCGGACATTCCCCATTTTCTCTCATTTCCAATAATTATAAATATGAGAACTTCATTACGATGCTGGCTGCTCCGTGGCGTTACCCCTCTCATTATTTTTTTGCATTTTAAAATGTAACTTTGGGATATTTCATTCGTGAGTAGTCTCTATTTATTCCGTGTTTGGGTACTCAAGATAAACCCTCAGTAATAAAATGCTAAGTGGATAACAAATATACACAAAGGGTGAATCATACTTTGATATATACATGTTTTATAAGTGTACACATATCTAGATAGCTCTAGATAAGGTACCTTGCTTTACCTGTATTGGAATATTAGTACAATAAAACCTTCATATTCTGAACACCACTGGGACCAACCAAAAGTGTTCGGATTAGCAGGTGTTCACATGTAAAGCTCAACTTATTAGTGAATCAATAGGAGATAACAAACTTGAGATCAGAAAAAAGTGTTCGCATTGAAAGGTGTTCAGATTAGAGAGGTGTTCTGATATACAGGTTTTACTGTAGATGTTAAATAGATCTAATTATACTAAACTTCCTATCAGTTATAAATTCTTGAGTGTGCCTATGAAAGGTTGCCAAGGTGAAATAAAACAAAAAATGTTTCCTATTATAACAAGGAAAGTAGTGATAAGGTGCTAACTAGGATAAGTTGTTAAGTCTAACTAGGATAAGTCTAAAAGTCTGTTTGTTTGTTTAATTGTTAGTTTGATCATTTGATTGTAGTTTAGTCCGACATCACTATTAAAGAATTTCATTAACATGTTTGTATCCCATTCTTTCTTTCTGTGTCATCTGCCCATTGCCCCTTTCACTTGTTTGATTTACATTGTAATTACTTACAGGCGCATTTTGGCAAAAGGATAGCATATAGTAAATGGCTTTATAGTGTTGTATTCACCATTTGGATAATGGGTGATAACTAAAATGTCAGTCCATGCCTGCTACCACACTTATCAGGCCCGTAGCCAGGGGGGTTCGCAGTGTTCGGGTGAACCCCCCCCCCTGGCCAAAAATTCTTTTAAAATCATGCAGTTTTTCACCATTTTGAGCCCTTCTCAAGTGATTTTAGCCATATTTGGGCCAAAATTGTCAAATGTGAACCCTCCTCTGGAAATTTTTAAAAACTGAACCCCCCTTAATTGGCAAATCCTGACTATGTGCCTGCTTATCATCCAATATTGACTATTTCCCTGTAAGATTCAAATATTATCATGTATAGTTAAACCTCTCAAATTGAAAACTGTATGGAACACTTATCTAATATTGAAAAAGTGTTCAGATTAGCGAGGTGTTCAGATTAGCGAGGTGTTTGGATATACAGGTTTCACTTTATATATGTTTTACTGTACTCTATATAGTTCAGGTATCTGACCTGGAGAGTTATACAGTGAAATATTCTAATCTTTTGCTTTTAATGACAAATCTCTAGATCTCAAATGAATACTTCCATAATTGAACACTATTTGCTCTGTCTCAAGTTTTAAGTGTTCATCTTAAAGGGATTTACTGTATTCTCATAGATGAATTCTCCCGATTCTGCAAAAGAACAATATGCTTATTATAAAAGTATAAAACAGTGGTTGCGTGCTATCGGGCACAGACTTAATTTACAGTGAATTGATTTTTAATCAAAAAATATTTCTATAATATCTATTACATTCCACATATGTGTAGATAGTTGATAAAGTAAACTTACAGTTTGGATATTATATAGTGCTAGATGCTGGCATATTTTATTAACAACTTGGATTTTGATAATTCCAGTAAATACATATGCTTTAATAGAAAAACATACTATACATATTCATACAACTTGAAATGTTTATTTGATTAAGCCCAAAAAAAGTTTGGCATATTATGAAAGGATAATTGCTATTTCTCTTTAGAAAATATATTTCCCTTTGTGTTCCTACTAATGGCTAGTGTATAATGATCCTCAGGAATTTTAACAAGTTCTGTCAAGACAAGATGCTTTGACCCTTGGTTGGTATTTAATTATCAAAGCTGCTGAGGACAATGTTGTATTTACTGAATACAATGTACAATGTTGAAGGAACTATAGTTGGAAACGTATGAAGAATAAGATATTAATTTTACATTTGAAGAGTAATTGAAAATTATTGAATGAATAGAATTTTTGATGTTCATTTGGGGTCAAGATGCCTTTAGGGGCTGGGGGGAGGGGGCGTGATGTGTGGTCTCTCATCTATGTTTTGGTTTATTGTCCAGATCCCTTAAACAATTGCAAAAGGTTTAATTTAACTTTTAAGGTCAGTGAAAATTGTTTCCTGCAAATAGCCTGTGTCAACATCACTTATTTCATGTTTATGTTTCTCATTATTGTGAAACTGTACTTTGTGAAACTGTTTTGGCATCAGCATTATATGATCCAAAAAGACTTATAGAAAATGTCTGGATGTAATTTTGTTTGTTATCACTGTATTTGCTTATTGTCTTGTATTGATGGTAAAAAGCTTCAAGGAAAAAGGCCTGACTGGCGGGTGTAAAATTTAAAACCTTGGTGACGGGAAACAAATATATATTTTCCTGGCCTAATTTTATGAAAATTATTTTCACTTTTAATTTCACTTAGTTTGTAATAATGAATATTTTCATTTTGTATTGATGAAACTATAGTACAGTGCATGGTCTAAACATTAATGTCCTTAAAGTTATTGATTGAACTTCTTAGTAATCACCTGATGATTTTCTCTTTTACATTACTTTATCAAATCTGATTATTCTATTAAGACTTATCCAATAGCCGTTCATGAGAAATAATTGGATTGAAAAACTCACTCAAAACATACATTTTAAATGCCTGTATATGTTTCTGTGAACTATTTACATAGGAACCTATATACCTTATTTGGGTAAATATTCCTTATAAGGTAAATAGCTGATACTATTGAATTCGCTAAACATGACTCAATATGATTCACTGACTCAAAGTGAAATTATGCGATGGGAACATGGTTACATGTCGTATAAATTCAGGTATATGAATTAGTTAGAACCTAATTTAGATGCTTAGCAAGGTAAATAGGCCAAATAGAACACATAGTTCTTTTTATTAGGCTACATTAAGTGTGAGAAAAGAACTTGCCTTGGTTTTCTTAAACTCCGACATGATAAAAAGTGCTTTTGAAATGAATATTACAAGTAAATGAAATGAGAATGATGTTCGTCTATGTCCACTCTACTATACCTTGTATTTGGTGTTCATGAGCAACCCATTTGGCTTATTAGTAATGATTATGTATTTGTTTTTATTTGTCTGTTCCTTATTAATGGTTTATTGGATGACTGTTAGGTGGTAAGGTACTTTCAAAAATATATTTAACAATACAATTAGACAAACAGAGAATCTTACGCATTTCTAGGGGTTAGGTATAGTAGAGTGATGTCCTGTTTACTGTTTATAGGTCATATTGTACATACCATTACATGTAATTATATTTCGTGAAATAGTTTTAATACTTGACTTGACTAAATTGCCGATGACATGTACCTTTATCAATCCCACTTTAGTCTACTTGAAAAATATTGTTTTCTAACAGGTGTCATGAGGTGTATTCTTTTTACTTAACTCAAACTAAATGAATAAGATAATGGCTGCATTCTCTTCCTAAGTCCCCCCATATTTCTGTTTTTTTGTTCTTCAATTTTTTTAAACCCCAACATACTAGCAAACCTTTTTAGTAAATAAATTAGTTAAACTAAAAGTGATTTCATTTTTGTAATTGCAGATTGTCACACTGTTTGGTGGAGAAAATGGATATGACAGTCGAGTCACCATTGTTGCATGAGTATTTTCCGTCACACCCATTTGATGAGGATCTAAAGTTGGATGCACCTATGGTAAGTAACCTCACTTTCTCAAAAAAAACTTTCTTTGAAAAAAGTTTCATGCTATATAGGGACGTCCTCAGGATATTTTGAAGGGGGTATGATGTGATGTCTACATTTAAAAAACCATCTGCGTTATCAGAGCATTTACTTCTAGGGAGCATGTCACTCTTCCCCAGGGTTTTTGACTCAAAAAGGGGGCACTCACCCCCCCCCCCCCATGGGGACACCCATACTATAGCTTGGACAATAGACCCACCAGTTATATGATAAAATTATTAGAGATTTTATTGAAAAATTTGTCAAAATTGTTTTTCAATCCCTTATGTTTATGTACATGTTACGTACATAAGTATAACTCAATCTGACAAATCAAAGGATTTCAAAACTTTCTTCATGGACAGTACAGTTGTTTGTTTTTATAAGATTGACAATGTTTTGAGTTAGATTGACATCAATGGTACTTTAAGGTTGAGGTCAAATAAGGTCTTGGAATTTCTTATAACAAATGTAGAGTTCAATTTGAAACTGATCTTGCTGGCCAGTAGGGGGTAGATTCATCTGACCACTGTTTAATGAAACCCCTGTTGAAAGAAATATATTTTAATCCTGTTCAAATTCAGAAACTTGTTATAACTACCAGGCTGGAGCCAGGAGCAGATGGGGGAGGCAGGTTTGAGCGAAAAATCATGTATTTCACCATCCTGAGCATTTTCAAGTGGTTTTGGGCCAAAGTTGTCAAAAGTGAACCCTCTGGAATTTTTTGTAAATTAGCATAGCCAGGCAAGTAGCCAGGCAAGAGGCAGGCAAGGCCTCACCAAAATTTGAAAGAAATGGATTTTGTTCAATGTTTTTTTCAAATGAAACTATAGAAATGCATTGTGGAAATATACCTCCTTTGGTCTCAATTTTCCCCAACAATATTAATGTTTGCCTCACCAATATTAATGTTTGCCCACCAATATTAATGTTACCTCACCAATATTAATGTTTGCCTCACCAATATTAATGTTTGCCCACCAATATTAATGTTTGCCCACCAATATTAATGTTACCTCACCAATATTAATGTTAGCCTCATCAATATTAATGTTTGCCTCACCAATATTAATATTTGCCTCACCAATATTAATGTTTGCCTCACCAATATTAATGTTTGCCTCACCAATAATAATGTTTTGTCTCACCAATATTAATGTTTGCCTCACCAATATTAATGTTTGCCTCACCAATATTAATGTTTGCCTCACCTTACTATCCTGGCTAAGCCCTGGATGAGTAAAAAAGCCAATTTTTGCAGCCTCTCCCATTCTCTTTCCACTTAACACAAGAAAACAGCTGTTTTAATGTTGCGCAAAATGAAAACATGTGTTCTTTAAAACAATGTGAGAATTTGACATCAACAAGTGGAAGCAAAATATTAAACATTAAATATGGTGTCCAAATGTCAAGATTTGTAGAATAACCAAGTCAATGTTGTTAGCTATAGATTTTTGGCCCTGGGAATATACAGTAAAACCTGTATGGGGCCACAAAAGTGTTCACTGTCTGTAGGTAGGTGTTCACTACAGAAAGGGGATTTTATATAGGAGTCAAGTAAATTGTGTCTTAAAGTGGTGTTCACTAAAACAGGTATTCACTAGAAAGAGGTGTTCACAAAGACAGTACTACTGTGTCTCCATTTCTTTCAAAATCATAGGAAAGCTCCAAAAATAGAACAGACCTACCAATTTTACAGAGTACAGATCAATCCAATTGTATATGATTACATACAACTTAGACCAATTAGCTTTGTTTAGTAAAGAGAAACCAAAATGATTAGATGCAGTCAACCCAGCCATGCATTGTATCCGTTTTGTTGTAAAAAATACAATGGGAAACATTTGAATAGAAAACACCAAGTCCAAATAAATACAATTATGAATTTCAAGGACTGGTTGTAGTTTTCACTTGGGCTGGTGATCTAACAGAAGTCACAGGTCCAGGTGACCGATGATGCTTAGCCTGGACTGGTTAAAATTATGATTTTGCCAGTTCTTTGGTCCTGTGAGTTGTATTCGCTTAGGAAAAACACTGAATATGAATTGACTGACCCTCTCATCTCATGAAATTGTTTGAAGTTTAAGTAAATTGTGCATTTCTGTATCATAGACATTTTGGCTCAGTGTATAAAAAATAATTTATTTGAACAAGGAGTTTTATCAGAAGATTATCAGTTTCCTGAAATTAGAGCTACATTTTCCTCATTTGTTAGTCATTGGTAAACTTGATAGATTGCTTTATTATTAAGCCCTGGTATATCTATGTAAATATTGGTGTATGGTGGGTCTTGCATTCAGCTTTTTTGATCACATCCTGTCCTCCCCATTCCCCTTCTGGAAATTCCATCCCCCTTTTGGAAGCCTCTTCTTGATAACCCCTCCCCCTACTGGAAGTCTCTTTTGGAAAACCCCTCCCCCATTGGAAGCCTTTCCCTTTTCTGGACAACCCCTCCCTCAGCTAGAAACCCCATCAGATTTGAAACCCTCTCTCTTCTGGAAAATCCCCACCCATGCTGGTAGCCCCTTCCCTCCCCTGGATCCCCACCTGTATATCTTTTCAATAATGTTCTCTGTTATAATGCGTTGAATTTCAATTAAAGGGGGAGGAATTACCTATACAGTGCTTGACTGCACCCCTTAAAAGAGAGCTTCATCGGGAGGTGAACTTAAGCTATAAGAAGTCCTGAGCCATGATGTGATTTGAGATAATTTTTTAAGAATGTTTCTATTGAAGAATTCAATTTTTACTATGGTCACCCTTGTCATTGACCCTCTCTCCCATTTGCTGTCTCTTCTTTTATGATAATGAACGGCTTTCAACTGCAAAAAACAATAAAAATACCGTTAAAGTAATAAACAAATAATTTACTTTAAATATTGGTCCTAAATGTCAAACATACCAATTGATAATATTTCCCCTTGTGTCATCCTATTTAACATAATTTAATCTCAAACTTAAATCAACTTCTTATTTTCTGACATTATGTTGAATATTTTGAATGTTTCTTACATTTAAATTTAAATGTTTACCTGTAAAGTCATTTATTTCCCCTCTAGTTAACATTTTAAAATATGACCTTGTGATATTTTACACATAGTTGTTGTTTTTCAGGACACAAGTCTATCAGTTATTGTGATGCCCCAGCCTGAAGTCCTATCTGAGCTAAACAATAAAGACCTTCATGGTATTATATAGACTCTGATTTCTTTCAGGACACCAGTCCATCAGTTATTGTGATGCCCCAGCCTGAAGTCCTATCTGAGCTAAACAATAAAGACCTTCATGGTATTATATAGACTCTGATTTCTTTCAGGACACCAGTCCATCAGTTATTGTGATGCCCCAGCCTGAAGTCCTATCTGAGCTAAACAATAAAAACCTTCATGGTATAGACTCTGATTTCTTTCTTTCAGGACACCAGTCCATCAGTTATTGTGATGCCCCAGCCTGAAGTCCTATCTGAGCTAAACAATAAAGACCTTCATGGAATAGATTCAGATTTCTTTGATTATGACGGAGATACAAGCAGTACAAGTAGTATGAGTCCATGTCAACGTTTCTTCTCTGATTTACAATCACAGGTATGTGCCGTTTTTATGAGCGACATTTTTAGGGTTGCAAAATCACTTGATGAGTACCCAGAATGGTGACAAACTACATGATTTTGAGAGGATCTCCATAGCAATACAGAATATATTGGTACAGAGGGGACAATCTCAGTAGCAATACAGATAATACAGAAAAATTCTTATCTCCTAAGTAAAATGTATTGCTCTAAGATCACACGATAAAGACGTTTTTAAACGATTTGAAGTGCAATACAGGATATATTCTGTCTCGATATTCTGTATTGGCACTCGACTTTGTCTTGTTCCAATACAGAATTTCTCGAGCAGAATATATCCTGTATTGCACTTCAAATCATTCAATAACTAATTATAATCTTGTGCTAATGGTTTGATGTGATTGTAGACACAAAGTCAAGAAGTTAGTCTTGCTTCAAGACGCTGGACCCCCCCCCCCCTTATCTACTTTACAAAAGTTGTGTTGGAGAAGTAGATAAGGGAGGGGGGGGGGTCCACAGTCTTGAAGCGAGACTTTCAAGATGTCTTGTCATCAAGGGTCTGAGAAAAGCATGGGTCATCAATTTGACACAGATACTAGTTTTCTGCATGAAAAAAATCAAAATTCTGCAAAAAATTCTGCAAGAAAAAAAGCAAATTCTGCAAGGAGAAAATCGAAATTCTGCACAAATTTTCAAAAAAAGTCCAAATTCTGCAATCTTTTAAAACGGTGAAAATTGACGTAGCAACGGAAACGGAAGTCAGCTACTTTCTAGGTAAGAACTGCGCGTCATTAGCGAACGGAATGCGTGACATATACGCAGGCCTGTCAACTTGGGAACACCTAACATGAGTGACTTGGAAATGTTGAACACCTCCCCTCAAAATGTGGACACCTTGGTCCAAATCTGAACACCTTGATCCAAATTTTGAACACCTTGGTTTAAATTTCATTACATCTTGCCAAATTTTGAACACCTCAAATTTTTCGCGCTCGCTATGCTCGCGGATCAAACAAACGGAATGCGTGACATATTCGTAATTCGCGTGAAAAGTCCGAACGAAATGCGTACATTTTTTTTCCGGCGTTCGTATTTTTGCTGTGTAGACGATCTTTTTTAGAAATTTTTCTACAGAAATATTTTTGCTTGACAATTACCAGGTAAAATGCGTATTTGCGTGACATTTTCTGTCACGCAAAAATAACTGGCGTGACTTCAAATTCTTCAGCAAATGCGTGACAAATACGCAAATTGCGGGACAGTTGACAGGCCTGTATACGTAATTCGCGTGAAAAGTCCGAACGGAATGCGTACATTTTTTTCCGGCGTTCGTATTTTTGCTGTGTAGACGATCTTTTTTAGAAACTTTTCTACAGAAATATTTTTGCTTGACAATTACCAGGTAAAATGCGTATTTGCGTGACATTTTCTGTCACGCAAAAATAACTGGCGTGACTTCAAATTCTTCAGCAAATGCGTGACAAATACGCAAATTGCGGGACAGTTGACAGGCCTGATAATGATTGATTGTTGGACATAAACAGACACTCTTCAAATACCCCGCAAAGGTAGGAGATCGTAAAATATGTAATTTCTGGAAATTCTGGTAATTCCGCGGGATTTTCATGAAAATCAGGGATTCTGCAAAAAAATGAAGTTTTGTCAAATTCCGTCCACGCCGCGGTATTACGGAATACTAGTATCTATGATTTGACTTGAAATCTAAGATACAAGCAGCTTATGGCCTGGTGTCAAGATTTTTATGTTTTCTGCATTCTGGGTAATTTACAAATAGACAATCTTGCTCCATTGGATCCATACTTATCACTGTGTGTTTTGTTATTCAGCTTTCCAATGATATGTAATTAAATGATATCATATCTAGTTATTTAAACCTAATTAGGGCCAATGCAATTAATATAAAATACCCCCTTGAGATTACATTCCTAACATGCAGGGTGGGCCGAAAAACGCTACCCTTTTTCTAGTACTACAATCAAAATGGATAACATTTTGGCTCACCCTGTATATTTTCTCTGATCAGATATAAATGATGATGGATAAATGGTAAGTTGATAAGCTAAATATTGTTTCAAGTCACTTAGGAATATTAGATTGGGCTGCCATTTTACATGATATAGAGATCCCCATATGAATTGATAATCTCATGATTCAAGGACAACTAACAATCTATAATACATAAGGGATTGTATCCAAATATTACAAATGGGCAATTGTGTCAAAAATTAAACCCATCTGAATGGCTTGGTTAGTTCAGAGATGTATCGTAAACTGCAAGAGTGAAGACGAAGCTCTCTTTTAAGAAGCGAAGTCGTACAAATTCAAAGGGTAATAATTTCAAGATTCAAGGGCAACTAACAATCTACATTACATTACATTAATGTACATTACTTTAGGGATAATATCCAAATATTGCAAATTTTAACAGTTGTGAAAAATATAAAGTTCCCCCCTTACCACAAAAACTAATATTTGAAAATGGGCATCAACAAAAAATAAATAAACTTTCTTCACTTAATTGTCATTCACCCCCCCCCCCCCTCTTATGAAATATACTTTTTTCTTCCCAAATGAGTTAACTTATGTGGACACCAATGCTGACATATGATATACATTGATTTGATATACATACCATACCACACCAAATATTTAAGTGACATATTAAAGTTAATATTTAACTTAATATTGATGTTTTCATAATAGGTGAAAAACGGTGAAAATTATTATCTAAAACGCGTGGGTGGATTCTAATTAGTTGAACATTTTACTAACAGTCCAAAGTACCCCTTCCTACATGCTACATGTCATATCATTTATTGGTGTGTCTCACATTAAGGGAACACCAAATAATATCAGGCTTCCAAGTTAAGGCGTGGGATCATGAGTCCTTATAGTAAGCTTGTCTCACATTGATTTGTTAATTCGCTTGGATTTTCATTTATGCACTTTTCATACATTACTTCATCCACTGTGAAGTACAATGATAACTGTTTCTGGTCCTTTCCCTTTGGCACTTTTGCATTAATTGTATTACAATTTTATTTTGTCTCCCATATGAACTACATGGATATTTACATAAAACAATTTATGCAACAGATATATATAAATAAAATTCAAATCATATGATCACATACTGGCACTTTAATACAGCTATGAGCATTCTCTTGAAACAGCACAACAATCAAACAACATTTCAATTTGTTGCTATGCAACAATATGACATCTCACTACACGAATGTTTGTAATTCCAGGTGAACGACAAACTACTCAGTGATGACGGGAGTGAAGATCACGACCGAGAGATTCAACGGCGAATTGAGAGAAGACGGAAACTGCGACGTAAATTCCGTAGGCGAAGGACGTTAATCCAAGAGAGTAAGTTTACCCATTTACAAACAATTTCGATCTGAAGAGGTGTATTAGTATTTGTGTGCATTCAAATGAATTTATTGATTATAGATGGTAGCACCTGACTGGGAATATATAATCTTTTGCAGTGCTGCCATCTATCAATCAATGTGGGTTCAAAAATATACAAATATATTTTTAGATAGTTTTTTGTGCATTTAAAGATGTCAGGGCATACTATTTGAAAATAACATTTGATCACTGCAAATAGGTGAATAAACAAAATACAAGGTTGAATATGTTGCCCTAGATATGCAAATAGTTGCCTATGCAATAAAACAATATCAATTACATGGAGCAGCTGCAATGATTGTGCTTTGGATTTTATGATTGTGCTCTCAATTTTGTGTAGCACAATCCAGGAGTGCACAATAGTATAATGATGCATATGATAAGCAGTTTTCTTGTACATGCATGAGTACAATAACACAATCAATTGTACATGTATGTGTACAATAACACAATCAATTGTACATGTATGTGTACAATAACAAAATCAATTGTACATGTATGTGTACAATAACACAAAATTTTGTGATTATTTTTTGAAATGTCACTCCATTTACATGTCAGTATAGGCCAAAGGTCAAATGACACTATAGAACTCTTTTTAACTGCATGACCCTAAAGCACAATCAGCATTGTTTTGGGATTTTTGATTTTCTTAAAATAAACCCTGACCTGGCATTAACATACCAAATTCATAGGTTAACTGTATTCAGTTTTGTGTACATATCACACGCCCGTAGCCAGGATTTGCCAAGGGGGTTCACTGAGAAAATTCCAAGGGGGCTAGGGGGTTCACTTTTGACAACTTTTGCCCAAAAAAGGCCAAAATCGCTACAGTTACTCCACCATTAACAGGAGACAATTATGGATACAATGTGTTGAGTTGTTGACATTTAATTTTTGTTCTTATACACCTTTTTTAAATCAATCATGTGCATCCAAATACACATTCACAAATGCACAACCTTTCATTGACATAATCACTCATTGAAGCACAATCTTAAATGCTGAACAACCATTGAGCGCAATCACAATCAATAATCAGTTTATTCAGTGCTTCAAATTTAGATATTGTTGCACTTTGAAGTGGCCAGGTAGGTAAATGATTAATGTTTGCTAGTTGACCTCTAAATGAAATATGGGAATTGTGTCAAAAATCCAGGTGATCTACTTTAACCGTATCACGACGTCAATCAAAATAATGTTCTTCCACGTAAGAAATAAATCTTTGTAATATGAGTGTAGATTTTCTGAATTAATTGAAAATCAAGATGAATTTCTTCAATAATAGGTATAAATAGGCTGCATAATAATCTTCAAGGAGTGTTATTTGTTAAATTGTGAAATATAAATGATAATATGTTACTTCCGACTTGTTTACACGCGTAGTAATTTTCGTATAGAAACCAAAGAAAAGATGGCTTCTGAAATTTCTAGCAGAAAAATGAATTTAGATCTTCTACTACAAGCTGGTATGTATGTTTCATGATATAACTTTGTGTCTAGATTCTCGAATGTATGCCATAGATAACATTTATCTCTCTGATTTTGAATTTATATCGCCATATAAGATTATATAAGTGTTTGAAATAACCAGGAAGTGAAAAATCAACATGCTGTTTTTATGTCACTTCCTGTTTTGATTTTTTTGTGAAGACCATGTGGTACTATTGTTCTGTTTCAAATAGCACTCTAACACTTTTCACATTGCTTTGATTTGTGTGTTGCTCTGATTTAATGTGAATGATCGACTGAGGGCTGATAAATTACATTGATACAGTCACTGAAATCAGATGAATGAAAATACAGGCAGAAGTTCTTGGCCTTCAAATTGACTTCAATACATTGTCATTGACAATTGTTATGTTATTTGGAACATAGGATCTAATCCTAGGCTCAGGGCTGATGTGAAAAAATCACTCCACTTCGGTGGGAATCTAACCCACAACCTCCTGATTATATGTTGAGTGCTCTACCACTTGAGCCACAGAGCGAACTGTCTCTCTCATTATGCATCTCAATGTCATTGACATTGTTAGATCTCGGATTCAGATTTCAGAAAAAAATATAAGCCAAATGTATTGATGGTATATTTGAATTCCAATTCTCTGTGATAAGTTTGACTATCATACTTTGAACTCATCAGAGCCTTCAATTCCTCGAAAATCCCAAGGTCATTCATTGTCAAGATTTAATCTCAGTTCAACAAGTGAATTCCCATATTCGGCTTTCATTATTCATCAGAATTTATTTGGACCTATTACACGGTATATAACCCAAACGCTCCTACATGCACGACGGAGCGTTTCATTACTGAAATTAAACAAAGTAACGCTCCGGAGTAGGAAAACTGGCTGGCGGGAATGATGAGCCGTCTGACGATTTCCCCAATAATGGGAATAAGAGGTATGAGTTACATATTTCGAGTATACCATTCGATGGGTGTGATATTCATGTTGTACGTGGCTGGCTGTTGACGTTTGAAGCAATTAGGAAGAGCTATACGAAGCAGTATAGTTATCAAAATTCAAAAACGTATTTGTCATTCTACCGGTCAAAACCCCTTTTGTCGATACATGTGATTAGTTGAGCCAAGATTAGAGCACCAACGTATATTTTAGTCAAATTCCAATGCTTCAACGCACCATACATTATCGTAATAGTGATTTGATGACCGAAAATCCAGTCTTAAAAATGATGACATTCTCATATCCAAGAAACGCTCCGATCTGATTAACACAGTGAACTGGAAACGCTCCGGTAGTCTAGATCAGTTTAGGAAATATATAGCTTGCCTTTCCTTTTCAGGAAGAGAAAGAAAAGATCTATTATACCCCTTGGCATCAATAGAAGAAAGATTAATTCACATATAAATTTTCGTTTTTCTATAGTTTTATGATTTAGCACATATGTAGGCATGACATCATCTAATGTATAGGCTTAAATCAGCTAGTTGCACGTTTAGCACCACCAGGTTCAGATGTTTCAATTTGCCTAACAAGTAAAACACGTTTTTAAGAGATAGATTCGATTCGGGACTCTTCTCTAATAATCTGAAAATGATATCAAAACAAAATGGTAAGAGCGTTTCTAAAATTGTGTTCTAAATCGATGGAGCGTTTCGAGGAAAACAAGCGATTTCTCGAGAACAAGTAATGGATTTGGACTGGGATTTTAGGAAATGAGAATATACGAGTTTGTGATCTACTACTTTAACAGAAAGATTAACGTTTTAATAGAAATACTAGTTTAATTCGTAATTTGTGGTCAAAACGTCATCTTCAGATTCGTTCGATCAACACTACGGAGCTTTGATCAAGCAAATAACAGTTTACCACCAGAAGTTGAATAAATAAGATCTTTGCTCAAGGTATTGTTCATCGAATGGTACATAATATTTCACCATAACACATGATATGTAAGAGAAACGAGAGAAACAATACTTACGGTCATAGTGGAATCTTCATGAGCCGCCATTTTATTTCGCTCCGGAGCGTTTCCGCGTAAATGTAACGCTCCGTCGTGCATGTAGGAGCGTTTGGGTTATACACCGTGTATTATGGTAACAGGCCTAAGAGGTGGCATATAGAATAAGGCCTAAAAGTATCTACTAGGTTTAACTTGTCGAACTGGGAAAATCTTAAGAATTCTAATTGTCACAAACAGGGGAGTAGTTGATCAAAATGGATCCTGACTCCAGCGAGTATTCTTATATGTTGTGATTAGGATATTTGAGAATTTGGCACGTACATATGTATAACCGACATAATTACACCTGAGTATATAAGGATTCCTTTTATATTTTCCTATACTGAGTGAAAAAATCAACTGGTCCATTTCAAAAGTAACATGGCAATGACCAGTGGACAAGCCTCAAAGCCTGATCACCAAAAGCCTAAAATGGCCAGAGATTATTATTATATTTCTGAGGAAAGTCAGGTGTACAATTGCAGATGTAAAGTCAAGCCTTAATGTTTGTTTAGTATCAACAAACACAACTAGATGTAAAGCAAGAATCAAAACTATTGATGCAAAAAGACAGAGTATTATGAACTTTTAATAATTTATTTCAGAGTGACAATCATTGAAAAATATTAGTATGTAAAAACTTGGAAAAATATAGGCCTACCAGAAAATGAAAGTAGTAAAATAATTCTATTATGATGTGCGACATATAACGGTGACTCAAACAATTGATTTGCTGGCTTATAAAAGGGTGTGTATGACATCTTAACAAATAGTTGTTTTTATTGTTTGCTTATCTTCAATGGAATCATAACTAAGACCTAGATTCTTTGATTTATGGCAAATATATGACTTTAGATTTTATTCTATATAAGACCTCAACCACTCTGCGATTTCGGTCACTTAACAATTGTTCGGAAAAATCATAAGTCATATGTTATGCCTTAAATCATAGAATCTCGGTCTTTATTCACTTAGTAAACTTTACTTTAAATCATCATGTAGATTGATCTGAATCCATTCTGTGAAACCATTACACTTTAATTGTAGCAGCATCATTTTTAGGGCTCTAGATTTGATTGATGTTTACCTAATTATTCCAGGTACTACAGAAGCTGTTTAAGTTAGAAGCAGTTGTCTCTGTGTGTTTAAAATAAGACATACATTTTTTCATGCTAAACCTCAAATAAGCTGTTTTCTGTAATATCTCTTTAGTATAAATTAGGAGTAGCACCCCTGTTAAAGGCCCTATGCAAAGTTTCAAAATTTTTTTTTTCATTCATGTACTATTTTTCTGGTTAATTGTCCAAGTTTTCACTCTTTTTCTACTTTCAAACATGATCCATATATTTTGTGTTGCGTTATGGTTATTAGAACAAACAAGCAGTTGCTTAACCCATTTTAACACATTTCTTCTTTTTACTTTACGATGTAAGCTCAAATTTCGAGGTAAACCTTGGAAGCTGCTATTTAAAGATGACCCCCATAATCCT